GCGGCGAGCCGTGACATCGTGTCTGCTGGAGCAGCAGCTTCAGTCAGACTGGTGATGATGGTTTCCAGTATCGGCTGTCCCCTCTGACATCATCAGGCGTCTCTTTAACTCACTCCTGTGTTTGTCTTCCTGTCAGCGCTGACCTGTGTGTCAGCGGTCACCATGGAGACAGTGGTGGGCCACATCGGGACAAAGGTGATGCTGCCGTGTCGCACAGGGGCGGGCAAACAGGGCGGAGTGGAGGTGTGCTGGGGGCGGGGCAAACCTTCACTGTTCACCTGCCACAACGCTGTGATCAACAGCGCCGCAGCCCGCATCACCTACAGGAAGTCACAGAGGTGAGCGCAGGTGTGCGTCCCATCAGAGCCGACTGTAGCTTCCTGTCAGCACGTGGACTAAAACCTTCGTCCCTCCTGTGCAGGTACTCTGTGTCTGCCTCCTCCTCTCTGTCCATCTTCCACTCACAGCCGTCGGACTCGGGTTTCTACCACTGCAGAGTTCAGGTGCCCGGACTCTTCAACGACCAGACCTTCACCGTCCACCTCATCATCCTCAGCAGCCGTACGTCCACGCACGCCTGTTCAGAGCGCTGATAACGACATGAAAACCTCAAAGTGTTTGTTTGTCTTTCGCCTGCAGCTCGCTCTGTGGCCGTAGCAGGAAACACTGAGCTCTCAGACGGGGACCTGAACGCACCGCACACCACCACAGGTACCGTTCTCTTTCTCACTGCATGTCTTTACACTCATAGAAGAGTCGCCCCCTGCTGGTCATTATTAATAATAATAATAATAATAATAATAATAATAATAATAATAATAATAATAATACATTTGATTTGAAAGCAACATAAAAGCCAGCATTTTACACAATCATAAAAGCATAAAACACATTTAAAATAGCAGAGGGGAGAGGTTATGTGGGATAAACTATTTTGAACTAGTGAGTTTTGAGTTGGGACTTAAAGAAAGAGAAGGAAGCGAGATTTCTTAAATCAGGAGGAAGGAAATCCAGAGCAGCTGAAAGCCCTGCTGCCCGTGGTGGCAGCACAGGGGAGGGGAGAGAGAGAAGAAGAGGGTCTGAGACAGATGGGCGGTGATCTGAACCTGATCAGAGAGATATGGAGGAGCGAGGTGATGAGCAGCCTTACATGTGTACGAGAGTAAGAAGGCAAGTTTGTCACACGTCGTCTTTTCTTTGTGGTTTTATTTGAGTGAACTCAGCGTGCAGATGAGGTACGCCCATCCTTTAGATGGAAAATTATATTTTAGTGTTCGTTTGGAGCGTCAGGAAGCTGCTCGCTGATGCTTCATGCTGTCAGTACAGGAAGCTGTTTGTGTGACGCGGCGTTACCTGTTGCTAACGTGAGGTCACAGCCGTGACCCTGTGAGCGTCACACAAACACGTCCTCGTGTTCAGCATCTTTAAATCTGAACACAAAGTCCGGTCGAGTCAGACGTAAACAATCATCATCTGTTGGCCAGGTCACATCGCCCAGGAGGCAGGAAGTGACATCACAGGAGACGACACCACGCAGCCAG